GGCGATGGAGCAGAATCGACCAGTGGAACAAATAAAAAGGAGTCATAAACAAAGCTCCCACAATTCGCAACCAGTTCGTATAATCAATGCTATCCATGGTCGACCCGAGCCTAGTGAAGAGTCAGATGAGCTGCTATGAGTGCGCCTGCGGCAGGCGCAGATGAAGAAAAGGGTCGGCAATGTGACCACTCTACACCAGCAGAGCCCGTCAATGCAGATAAAGTTCGACTGGACAGACCTGCAGCGTGTTCAACTGCCTCATGACGACCCGTTGGTAGTCAGTTTGATAGTGGCAGATTGCTTGGTGCGCAGAGTTCTGATCGATCCTGGGAGCAGTGCGAATGTTATGCCGAGGGACACATTTGACAGGCTCGACATTAAACCAGAGAGGCTCAAGCCCACCGGAAATCCCTTATTAGGGTTCGATGGGAAGAGGGTGGAACCCGTCGGGATGGTGGAAGTAGAAGTTCAAGCTGCAGAACGAGCTCTTATGGAAACTTTTGTGGTTGTGGAAATTCACCCCTCGTATAATCTCCTGATGGGAAGAGGATGGATTCACAGAGTCCGAGGTGTACCCTCAACTCTGCATCAGGTCATGAGGTGCCTCGGGCCCGATGGAGATAAAGTAATAGACATTCGGGGGGATCAGGTCGCAGCCAAAGAGTGTTATTCCGTCACACTAAAGCATGCTGGGAAAGGAAAGGCGCCCGTCCGTTCGACAAGCCCCAGATAGCAATTACAGGAACCTCCACTCGAGCAGAATAGGGTGGAGGAGTCAGCCGACTTGACCGAGGAGCCCCTTCTGGATGTGCAGATCGATCAGTCCAGGCCAGAACGAACTACCAGAGTAGGTATAAGACTGACCAGAGAAGAGCAGCAAGAGCTAGTGGATTTCTTGTCCCACAATGTCGACGTATTTGCATGGAGTCACCTAGACATGCCTGGAATTAGTCCTTCCGTATCCTGTCATTCCCTGAATGTCAATCCCAATTTCAAACCAGTGAAACAGAAGCAGCGAAGATTTGCTCCAGAACGTAATCAGATCATAGCGGAAGAAGTCGATAGGCTGCTTGATGCGGGATTTATCAGAGAGGTGCACTACCCTGAGTGGTTGTCCAACGTCGTTGTGGTGCAGAAGAAAAATGGGAAATGGCGAGTATGCATTGATTTCACCAATTTGAACAAAGCCTGTCCGAAGGACAGCTTCCCGTTGCCTAAGATTGATCAAATGGTGGATGCCACCACTGGGTATGAGCGTTTAACCTTTCTGGACGCATATTCAGGTTATAATCAGATTCCTATGGACCCCGCAGATGAAGAAAAAACTTCTTTTGTCACCGAGCGAGGAACATACTGCTACAAAGTTATGCCTTTTGGACTAAAGAATGCGGGAGCAACTTATCAACGACTTGTTAGCAAAGTTTTTAAGAATCAAATGGGTAAGACTGTCGAAGCCTATATTGATGATATGGTGGTAAAGAGTAGGAAAAAGGATGATCATCTGAAGCATCTGCAAGAGGTATTTGATGTACTAAAGCGATATGGGATGAGGCTCAATCCGACCAAGTGCTCGTTCGGTGTGAGTTCCGGGCAGTTTCTGGGACACGTGGTCAACCGCAGGGGCATCGAAGTTAGCCCCGCTCAAGCAGAGGCTTTGATTAAGAATGCCGAGCCAAAGACGATCAGAGAGGTGCAAGCCCTAACAGGACGAATAGCTGCATTAAGTCGATTTATTTCAAAATTGTCAGACCACTGCAAACCATTCTTTGATACGATTCGGAGCCATGGAAGGCAGGTCTGGGGGGATGAGCAACGACAGGCATTGACTCATTTGAAGCAATATATGCAGAATCCACCAGTCCTGTCAGCCCCAGAACCGGAAGAAAAGTTATTTCTATATCTTGGAGTATCTGGTGTCGCGACGAGTGCCGTTCTGATTCGTTGCAAGGAAGGGGTGCAATACCCGGTATTTTATGTAAGCAAAACACTGATGGAGGCAGAAAAAAGATACTCAAAGGCCGAACGGGTGGTACTTGCACTTGTAAATGCAAAAAGAAAGTTGAGGCATTATTTCGAATCCCACCCCATAGCTGTTCTAACAACTTTCCCAATCAGAACGCTCATGCACAAGCCAGAGCTCTCGGGCAGAATGACAAAGTGGGCCATAGAGTTGAGTTCATTTGACATAACGTACGAGCCGAGAACAGCTGTTAAAGGGCAAGCGGTGGCCGATTTCCTACTAGAATGTGATGCCGAAGATACGGAAGAGGACCTTAGAAGCGGCTCTTGGAAACTTTTTGTGGATGGCTCCTCTAACCAGATGGGGGCTGGGATTGGGATCAAACTGCAAACCCCAGAGGGTACTTCCTTGAGCCAAGCACTCAGACTTGAGTTCCGAGCCACCAATAATGAAGCGGAATACGAGGCGTTGCTAAATGGATTAAAGTTGGCCAGAGAGCTACAGATCAAAAGTTTGACAGTGTATAGTGACTCGCAGCTGATTGTTCGGCAGGTAAATGGTGCGTACGCAACCAAGGATGACATGATGGGGGCATATCGTTCTGCCGTTCTGCGTAGAGCCAAGGACTTTGCAAAGATTGAATTCATACAGTTGCCGAGGGAACAGAATGCAGATGCAGACCGTTTAGCATGCAGTGCTTCGAGTTGCGGTGAAACATTGGCGAGGGTGATTCCAGTAGGAATAGTGACCCAGCCGTCCATTTTCGAAGAACCGATGGACTCGGACCCTTGGCAAGTCAACGTCATACCGTATGAACCGAGTTGGATTGACCCAATCATTACCTATATTCGAGATGGCGTGTTGCCTATGCAAAGGGATGAAGCTAGGAAACTCAAAAAGAATGCTGCCAAGTACGCCATCGTGCGGAACCAGCTGTACAGAAGGTCCTATTCTGGCCCGTACTTGAAATGTGTCACCCCCGCGGAGTCGCAGCAGGTATTGCGAGCTATTCATGAGGGTGTGTGTGGCAATCATTCTGGGGGAAGATCGTTAGCGCATAAAGCAATGACACAAGGGTATTTCTGGCCAAACATGTCAAGAGATGCGGAGGAGTTCTCTCGAAGGTGCGATAAGTGCCAACGATATGGACCAATGATCCACCAACCACCTGAGGAATTGCACGTAATGGCCTCGCCGTGGCCTTTCGCGCAATGGGGGATGGATGTGGTCGGTCCTCTGCCAACTGCAAGAGCTCAGAACAAGTATGTGTTACTGGCCACGGATTATTTCACTAAATGGGTGGAGGCAGAACCGTATCCTAGCGTGACTCAGACTCAGGTGAGACGATTTATCTGGAACAACATTATCTGCCGCTTCGGTGTTCCCAGAACAATAGTCATGGACAATGGCACAAACCTCGACAGCAGGCAAGTAAGAAAGCTGCTGGAGGAGTATGGAATCAACCAGAAGTTGGCTGCAGTAAGTCATCCTCAGGCCAACGGACAAGCAGAAATCACAAACAGAACCATTTTCGCCTGCATTAAGAAGAAGCTGGAAGATCATAAGGGGAAGTGGTTGGATGAACTCCCGAACGTTCTATGGGCTTACAGAACCACCCCAAGGCGGCCGACTGGGGAGAGCCCGTTCGCAATGGCGTATGGTACTGAAGCAGTTATACCAGTTGAGCATTTAGTCCCCACTATCAGAAGCTTAGCATGGAGTCGGGATCAGAACGACAAGATGTTAAGATTGAACCTCGACATGATAGACGAAAGGAGGGACGCAGCGGCTATAAGGCTAGCATCGTATCAGCAAGTGCTGGCGAATAGTCACAACAAGAGAGTAAAACACAGAGATTTTGCCCCTGGCGATCTGGTTCTGAAAAGAAAGGTGGGGATGGTCAAAAAAATGATGCCACCCTGGGAAGGCCCATACAGAATTGCGGAAGTCATTGGCAAGGGGGCATATACGTTGGAAACCATGGCGGGAAGGTTGGTCAGCAAGCCCTGGAACGCCACGTCTCTGAAGAGGTACTACCAATAGAAGCTAAGTTCTGGCTTTAATTGGATGTTATTTGTTGTCAATCAAATACGTATGAATGAGCAAGTTACTAGAATTTACAAAAAAAGAATTTTCTTTTCCAACGGTCTACTATAAAAATTTAAAGCCAAGTGGCAAGTGGCATTCTAGCCGAGCGCCAGGCACTTAAGCAAGATAAGTGGCAGCTGGCACTATAAGCCGAACGCCAGACACTTGCTAAAAATTTAAAGCCAAGTGGCAAGTGGCATTTTAGCCGAGCGCCAGGCACTTAAGCAAGATAAGTGGCAGCTGGCACTATAAGCCGAACGCCAGACACTTGCTAAAAATTTAAAGCCAAGTGGCAAGTGGCATTCTAGCCGAGCGCCAGGCACTTAAGCAAGATAAGTGGCAGCTGGCACTATAAGCCGAACGCCAGACACTTGCTAAAAATTTAAAGCCAAGTGGCAAGTGGCATTCTAGCCGAGCGCCAGGCACTTAAGCAAGATAAGTGGCAGCTGGCACTATAAGCCGAACGCCAGACACTTGCTAAAAATTTAAAGCCAAGTGGCAAGTGGCATTCTAGCCGAGCGCCAGGCACTTAAGCAAGATAAGTGGCAGCTGGTACTATAAGCCGAACGCCAGACACTTGCTAAAAATTTAAAGCCAAGTGGCAAGTGGCATTCTAGCCGAGCGCCAGGCACTTAAGCAAGATAAGTGGCAGCTGGCACTATAAGCCGAACGCCAGACACTTGCTAAAAATTTAAAGCCAAGTGGCAAGTGGCATTCTAGCCGAGCGCTAGGCACTTAAGCAAGATAAGTGGCAGCTAGCACTACAAGCCGAACGCCAGACACTTGCTAAAAATTTAAAGCCAAGTGGCAAGTGGCATTCTAGCCGAGCGCCAGGCACTTGCCGTACAAACACACGGCGAAGCTAATATAAAAAGAAAAAGAGAGAAAAGATATGTATGTACTGAAGATAAGTTGAATAGAGCACAACACATAGAGATCAAGAGTTCTGTCATTTCATTAATATTGAACATTGAGTTTACAAAAGAGAGATGTCCATCATTACAAGAAGATATGAACTAGAAGAATTCGAAGGAGCCCTAGCTAGACGCCTCAGTACCAACAGCATCCTGGTCTTGCCGACTCGCCTCCTCGGCCCCATCAGCCGCCTCACCCTCATGAGGTGGGGAATCCAGGTGAATGACTGAATCGTTCGGCTGGGGTTCAGCGTCAGCAGTGGCTATAGAAGGAGCCACGGTTGACGATTGGGGAGCGGTCAGTGGCAGAGCAGTAGGAGGAGCTGTGATGATCCTTGAGGATGCGATGTCCTGGCACTCATCAAATATACGTTCCGCTTCGGTGGGTTCTGGGTCGACATAGACCCCCAGAGGTTCGATCCCCAGATCCTTGTCTACCTCATCCGGAGTGGAGCTGGTCTGTCCCTCATCCGGAACCCGGTCGGCGAAACCTTCCCGGAATCCTTGAGCATACCGAAGAGCACCGACCCTGGAGAACCGAGCGTGAAGGGCCAGCATCCCACCACCCACTCTGCTGATCGCGTCGATCAGAGCGGTACGCTCGTCGAGAGCTCTTTTTTCAAAAGCCATCCGAGCAGACTGTTCATCAGCTAGAAGGCGCTGGAGTTCTGCCTTCTCTTCTCTAATTGATTCCCGCTCAGTCTGCCAGACGCTCTTCTCAAGCTGGAGGGCGTCCTTCTCATCCTGAAGGGAATCATTCTCCTTCTTCAGGACATCTCTCTCTTGCTCGGCTTTGTCAAGCCGAACCAGCACCTCGGTATTCTTCATGGCAAGGAGGTCATTTTCTTTATTAGCCACCTCCAGGCTGTCAGAATACTTTCGGGCCCTGGCGTTCCCCATCTCCACCTGCTTCTGCATGGCCATCATCCCGAACAATGTCTGCATAGGTGCACATTAAAAACGGTTAAACCAATAGTCAGAACGGGCAAAGGCAGGACCAAGTAATATGAGAGAATTCATGAGTTAGAAAATAAAAGTCACCTCCATAGCAGATTGGGGAAAGCGACTGAACACGTCCTTCTGGGAAAGGCCCTTTGCCGCCTCAAGGTCCTTCGGAGTCCACATGCTCCTGTAGTAGGCCATAGCGGTCTGGCCATCCTTCAGCATGGTCTCGTTCGGTTTCACGAACGTCCCATCCGTTCGGGTGTACCGAGGGGCCCATGGCGGTAAGCTGGGGATAGAAGGGGGGCCTGAAGCAGAAGCAGAGCCACCAGCTGCGGGAGGCCCAGAGGGAGAAGGAGCTCTGATCGCTCGGTGCAAGAGAGTACCCGGCCCAGAGACCCGGGTCCTTCTAATGAGAGGCTCCTCCTCAGGATCGATTTCACTGTCAGGATGAGGCCTTTTGCCTCGTTCTTTGTCCCGACCGCCCCCCGCAGCAGCAGGAGCTATGGTAGCTGGGGAGGGCGCGTTCTGGTTGGCAGCAGGGGCGCTGGCAACAGGGTTAGTAGCCACTGCGCTCGGGACAGTGTCAGATATGGTGGCTGAAGAAGAAGCTGACGCTGGAGAGGAGGTCGCCCCAGCAGCAGGAGTGGCTGGGGGAGTATTTTTCCTCCTGCCAAAAGAGGGAATCTGAAGTCTGCTCATGTTGTAGCCGAGTGATGAGAGCGCAAAGAGGTTGTCTGAAGTGAGGAGATCTGAGCAGGAAGGAATATCGTTCAGAACGTATCTCTTCAAGTAGTTACTCCTATCCCTGCAAACACTATAGCTCAAGTCATCACAAGGTATTCCCAAGGAGCGGCATAAGTAAGTGCAAAAACGAGGAACGCATGTTTCACAGGGGCAGTCATGTTTATGGGATTTGAATTTTTTATAGGAGGAGACAGAGCAGACACCAAAGGCGCTCGGGATTGGGTAATCCTCTGCAGCCGGCGAAGACCAAGCCCCACTAATGCCCACTATGCTATCCCTCCAACCCTTTTCAGATTTTATTGTGTCAGTGCATATGGACATCTTCTCGAACGGGTAGAGGTGGTAGAAGGGCTCGTTAGTACGAATCTTACTGACCTTATAGCACAGAAGGAGGTCTATGAGGTCGAGGTCCAGATTTCTGTCACGCATCAATAAGAGCATAACAGATATGATCCTAAAGAAGTTGGGGTTGACCTGCAGAGGGGATATCCCCAATCTATTGAAGACATAACTAAAGAAAGGGTGCAGAGGGAACCTAACAACATTCAATTGAAGGTTCGTGAATAAGACTTCGCCGGGCAGGAGGCCGGCGCCGGTCGTAATATTAACGTCTTGGGGGCAAACCCTAACTTCGATGTTGTCAGGAAGTCTAAGTCTCATACGAAGAACATCCAGATCTACAACCATGGTGGAAGTGCTAGAAGAATCTAAAAGAGGGAAAATGGAAGCCTGCCGAAAGTAAAAAGAACGAAACTAACCTCGGAGGACTGCAAGATCGCTGGAAGAATGACTCTCGAAGGATTTCACCAGAAAAAGCTTAGCACTGTTCTAGAAAGAGAGAGACTTGGCTGATGATGCAGACGGTAAAGGGAAGTGAAGTGGAATTCTAGAGCATTATAAAGGCGAGGGGGCCCGAGGGCCGAAGCGTCGGGAAGGCGAGAAATCCCTCGAGCCCCGGAACATTGATTCTGGATCTGACCGTCCGCTCCCCCACGTGGTTATCTCGAGCCGTCAGCGTCATGATGAGACGCCATCAATAATTACCCCTTATTAAATAAGGGGCAATTATGGGGGCAGTTGAGGAGGCCCCGGATGACATGGGCCAGGTCCGACCCGCAAAACACAACATTCAGTCCGAACAGCTGGGTCAGCCCATAGAAAGACACTGCCATATGGGCCGAACGGGAGTAAGCCCATCAAGGGTGACCAGGGCTTACAGAGGAATAGGCCCAGATCCAGCAATCAGTAAATATCTTGTAAATATCTTGTAAATATCTATAAATAGGAGTTGGAATGAAGAGGAGAGGGATCTTTTCGGGTTGAGGTGTAAGAATTCTAGAGAGAGAAAGAATAGAAGGAGTTTCTTGCATCTTCAATGATAAAGTAGTGGAATAACTGTGTATATATATATATATATATATATTTATATGCAGGCATGGACATGGTTAAGGACCGCCCTCACTGAATTTTTTCCTATTTATATTATTGCCTATACTTTTTTGTTAAAGTTTATAAAATGCCCCCTCAATTTGTAAATTTTTTTAAATTACCCCATCTCAATTGATAAAAATACTACATTTTACATTCTTCCCACCACTATTTTTTTGGATCCAAAAGATAATCATCTGTTTTTTACTCTCTACCGTCCGCCACATTCATGATTCTCTCTCTCACTCTTTGATATTCCTACTAAATTTTATAAAATACCCACTATATATATATATATATATATATATATATATATATATATATATATATATATATATATATATATATTATTGCGATTTAGATCCAAAAAAAGTAAAGTAAATCGGCTTTATTATTTCTTCTGATCCCACATCTATGATAATCTAGAAAGCACGGACATAGTAAAAAGATCAAAGAATCTGAGTTAGACAAGTCACAAAAAAATAAATTCTTATATTTATTATTTTATTTAAAAAAATTATCTTCAATTTTTTATATTCTTCAACAACGCCCCCCTCAAAAAAATTCCTGAGTCCGTCACTGTATATATGATATAAAAGTCATTACAATTCTTAGTATAAAAATTAGAAATAAATTAAGTTTGATAACTATTACTTAATAGATATATAAAGTCCAAGACAATGGCGGATCAATGAATTGTCAATGAGGTGAGCTAATATTTCTTTGGGTGGGCTAATATTAGTAATAAATTTTTATTTTTTTGGACTGGACTAGAATTAAGTATAGTAAATTTTTTTTTTTTTTTTTTTTGGGGGTGGTCTTCAACCCACCCTTGGATCTGGCAGTGGTTTAAGTCATACTTGTGTCCTATTTTTTTAAAAATTAAACATGTCGAAGTATTCGTGTCGTATCATATCCGTATCTCATGCCCGTGTCCATGATACATAGCTTTCAAATGACTTAACTACTTAAATAAATTTAAAAGAATTATTAACCCCATGGTTTCAACTCAAGTGCGTTTGTCTAATTTTGATTATAACAAACCATTTTAGAGGTTACATGCTCGTGTCCATGCTACATAGCTTGTCGCGTCCATTTTATAACAAACCATTTTTTTAAATTTAACGTGTTGAAGTATCCGTATCGTGTCATATCTGTATCCATGCCTGTGCCCATGCTATATAGCTTTCAAATGACATAACTATTTAAATAAATTTAAAAGAATTATTAACCCCAAAGTTTCAACTCAAGTGCGTTTGTCTAATTTTGATTATAACAAACCATTTTAGATGTTACGAACTTTTTATTTTATTTTATTTTTTAGCCCTGGTAGCATGGGCGAAAAGAAATTAAACCAAGTCCACTATGATCATTTTCTATTATCGTTATTATCATGTTCCATAATAATTTAGTTTAAAAAATAATCCCATTCCCACCTTCCGAGTCCTGTAAACCAGACGAAATAAAATTCTGGATAAAAAAATTGTAAATGATGGAGTGATATGGGACATAGAAGCAAGGTTTAAGGGAACTTTAAAAAATAATTAACGGTTATAGATCCAAGGATGATTAATTTGTAAGTATGACAAAAATGATATGATTATGATTTGAGATCAAGTGATTCGAGTGCTTACTCACTATCATCAACCCACAGGGCCACAACTAACCCATTTTAACTAACTTACTAGTGAAGACATTTTAAGATTTTTAGAAAAAATTAGTTAAAATGGATGATTGAGCATAATTTGCTCACAATGTTGATAATATCAGAATTTATATGCACAAAATAAAAAGTAGGAGTATATTTTGCATTTTATCTTATTATTTATATATATATTTCGTATGGTTTTTATTATAATGTATCTATTTCTCAAAAATATTTTAAAAAATAAATAAATATGCGGTGTAGTTTTTGAAACTACAAGGGTGCTGTCTGCAATTTTATCATTGTCGAGGGGGTTTATGTGCAATTTACCAAGACTTTAACTTCCTAAATATCCCAAATTACCTAAGCCGTACTCATTGTTATATTAGTATTAGGATTGTACGAAATTACCCTCTAATTCCTTCCTGAATCCTGATTAGGAAAAGATTATATCTTTACATATTTAGATCGGCTTACTCGGATGGAACGATTAGGACACTATGTGCAATTTCAGTTTTGGTAGAGTGGTTTAGGCTGCAATTTTCCAACTTTTATACATCAGCTTTACTCATAAGGATCACTGTGCAATATCAGCATTGTTAAAGGGGTTTAAGCTGCAATTTACTAACTTTTACATATGAGTTTAAGGTTGGCATCGCCGACTGTAACATCCTCTATCCCTAAAAATCTAAGCCGTCATACGATGTTCAGAGTGAGACGAGGAAATAAACTCTCGAATCTTTGCTCTATTAGGAAAAGATTATATCTCTATATATAGATCACCTTTACTCATAAGGTTTGCTCTATTAGGAAAAGATTATATCTTTATACATAGATCAACTTTACTCATAAGGTTTTTTTTTTTTCGGAGAATAACTTTACTCATAAGGTTTGCGTCGCTGCCAATTGTGAAGTTTTAAGATTATTGCAGGCTTGAGGTAAGCTGTTTGATTGTTCGTATTCACTATATATATGTGTGTGTGTGTGTGTATAAATATATATTGTTTTTATGGGTTGGGACGGGGATGAGACTTGGATTTGTTTTTAATATTGAAAATTAATTTTATTAGAATAGTTTTTCAAATTTGTTAGTAGAAAATCTGTTATATTTCAGTATGATGAAAGATGTATTGCAACAATAACTAATTCATACTATATCCAGCCAAGTGTTTTTTTTTTAATATTTATTTTTAAATAGTTTAAAAATTATAGACCCGTTGGAATTGATTATTGAGTATTGCAGATAAGATGTATCGTGATCATATCGATTCTTTGATTGACATTGCAGTGCTATTAGCGAAATAAACACGATGAGTTCAATGGAGGAGTCTGATTGGGCATTTCTTTCAAAGAACCTATTGGACATGACAATGGAGGAGCCAAATTGGGCATATCTTCCAATGAACTTATTGGATATGATTCTGGACAAGTTGGTTTCGCTTTCTGAATATGTTCGATTTGGTGCGGTTTGCAAACCATGGCAGTCTGTGGCAATGGGCAACAAACTTAAATTCGTTCAAAATAAGTTTTCTAGACAAGTTCCATTCTTGTTGGTGCCTTCTAGAGATAATAGTGACGAAAAACGTAGTCTATATAGCATCACTCATAATAAGCTATATGATTTTCAGTTACGGGTGCCTTACAGAAAGAGGCTTTCTGGTTCCTCACATGGTTGGCTGTTTACTGTGGAAAAATCCTTGGGCGTAACTCTAATGAATCCGTTTTCTGGCGCCACCATTGAGCTTCCTCCAATAAGGGTCGAAGATGGTGAGCTTGACAATATTCTTGATGATATTGAGTTTGAAGTTGGAAAGGCTACACTATCAGTTGACCCTGCTTCATCTCCTAATGACTACATTGTTACCGCCATCTATGGTGGTTGTTTATACCTGGCATTTATTCGGGCAGGAGATGAAGCTTGGACTTGCATGGATACAAAGAGATTTCTGGGCATCAATGATGTCATGTATTATAAAGGCAAGATTTTTGCAGTTGATTCTAGAAGTGGAGTCATAATGATTGATGTTAATAGAAGTGCTGGGGAGAGTAAGGCTCCGCATGTGGAGGTAATTGCACCACGTTATTGGAATAACGAACGGACATATCTTGTCGAATCATCTGGTGGGGATTTACTTCTTGTACAAAGGGATTTACGTCTTGGAGACGGTTCACAGCATGCAACTGAAGGGATTAAGGTTTTCAAGTTGCTCTTAGAGCAATTTGAGCAGGGTTGGCCTATGCGGGTTGAAGTGAACAACTTGGGTGGAGACACCCTGTTTTTGGGAGAGAACCATTCCATTTGTGTTTCAGCTTCCAAATGGCCCGGATGTCAGGCGAATTCAATATACTACACAGATGATTATAATCTCGTTTTAAGCTATCCCGCATCTGGGCGCCGCGACATGGGTATCTTCAACGTAGAGAATGGAAGCTTTGGGACCCATTACATCCTTGATCCTTCACATAACCAAATGCCACCCTCAATTTGGATTGTACCAACTGTTTTAGGAAATTGAGTATAGACTTAATTAATTGAGTATAGACTTAATTTGTTTTTGGACGGTCTTTAGATCAAATTTAATTTAATTTAGTTTTTTTTGCTTATCATTATGTGGTAAAATAATCTATTTTTATCTCTTGCTGTATCAAAATGTGAAATCAAGCTTGTAAAACCTTTAATTTAAATAGTATTGTGGCTGTTTCTCATTTCTTTATTTGTATTATAAATATTTCCCGAGCTAGAATTCATGTTTTTTTTTTTCTTCTGAAGACCACATTTTTCTTATATTTGATCTGCTGGGTTGCAGCCAAGTAGCCTTGCTTGCTTGCTAGTTACATGGTATGACAATTTCTTGAGTATATAATTAACTATAGTCAAATGTGGATTCCTTTTCATGTACTAAAGAATTGCATGTCATTCGTGAAGGAAGCCTATGTAGTTTTTTGACTTTTTATTCTTGAATTTACTCGTGAGGGCTCGATCATAATAATGGATCTGAGTGTTGAATGTAAATCTATTGCTGATCAATTTAGCTTATTATTGAGCTACTCGATTAATGAGTAGTCGTCTTCACTTGTGATGCAAAACTGATCAGCAATTGATAATTTGATTGACTCCCCTGGATAGGTTTTTATTTGTATATCTCTGTTACAGTAGTTCTTTAAAAATTTGGTTGAGATACATAGTCCTGTAACTAGAAAATCAATGTGAACTCTTTCTTTCTCTCTCTACATATAAACATATTATACATATATTAATATATGTGTATTAGAGCTGACTTATCAGCATGTACCAAACTCTGTTTCTATCTCTCTTAAAAATATATTTGACATACTTACTTATCAAAAAAATATATGTATTTGACATACTTGTGCTGTTAGGGCTAAAAGTAATCATTGCATGTGGTCGATTATGAAGCATAAGCAGCTATTGGAGCTCAAATTGGAGTCTAAAGCAGCTATTGAAGTTCAACTGTGTTTGATTGGGCTCAACTGTTGAAGTTCACATCAATATATGTGTTCGATTTGGGCTGACTGATTTCCTGCGGGCAATAAGATAAGAAATTTTGATTTCCTATGCATGATTTTCTATTTCTCTGTCTGGTGGTTTTGAAATGAAATGGAAATTGTGCGAGATGATGTTTATGGTTTTTGTATGAACTCTTTGCATTTGAAGAGTTGAAAGAGAGAGATTGAGGGGAAAAAATTTATTGATCTGGTTTCCTTTATGTTTATTTCAATTTACACTATCATACAGACATATTTCATTTAATGTATGTAGTATAAACAAATGCAACATTTATCTCATCATACATGACTTTACGACACGTGTTTTGATGCTTTGGAATAATGCCAAGGACTTTCAAAAGTTATTCCGATGGTGAGGATAATAGACATCTTGTTCACCTCCTTTTCTCCTGGTAAATAGAATTTGATAAAAGTTAGAGGCATACACCAGTTCTTTGAAATTCAGTGAGTCCGTTGATCTGTTTAAATGCTTAAAAAACAATTGAGTCCTTTCCTCACTCTTCAGAAGGTGTTCTAGTCTTTTGAGCTGAAAATAGAAAAGCAGATTTGATCTTTTCCCTTAGTTTAAGCTCTAACCTTTGTGCTTAAGCTTAAAATCTCAATATTCTTATGGTTAGCATATTTAAGCTCCAACTAGTGTTACATACTCCATTTTTTTAGGGTTGAGAATAAGAAGGCTCCTTGAAGGAGACAAACCGTGTCTTGATTTTTTTAACGAGTGGCATGCATTTCCTCTCTGCAATATTCCCAAATGGACATAGTTTACGAATAATAAAGGGTGCTTCAAATCATATATCAGTTTGTAAGCCTACTATCATCTCTTTAACTTATGATGTTCAGACTCATTATAAATGTGTTGATGTGTTGGTGCCAAGTTAAGACTCAATGTTAGTTGCTATAACTAGCAATGCATAATGAAAATATGAAAGTATTGTAAAATTTAGATGAATTCTTTCTGTAATATTTTGACTTTCACGGTAATCTATAACTAGCACAAAAAACACAATTGAGCTTGTGAATTTTTAGTAGTTTAGTGTTGAAACCTTTTTTTCTATTTGCTATTGATCTAGCCGCTTGGATTACTAAATGCTTCATGTATTTCCTTTGAACTTGTTGGGAATTGAGTTTATATATCATTTTCAAATTTAATGTTTGAATAGACAACATGTTACCCTGTTACGGCTCTAATGTTTTCAGTTTATGCCAGTACATGTCAACCAGCTACTGTTTTATATATATATATTTTTTTTCATCTCGGTAATTATCTTTTTATATTTTATTTTATTTTTTTTTCATTTTGTAGCAGCTTAAGTATTCATATTTGCTGAGAATTCTCAATGTACATGGCAGCGGTTATATCTGCTGGAAAACCCCAGAATTAGCGCCTTTGGACAGCAATCATCCCGCCATAAGGTGGACAATGTATGCAGCAGTCATGGTTGCTTTGATAAGTAAAAAGGCTATCATAGACGGAGATTTTGAGAGTGGAAGCTTAGGATATCAGATACCTGTCGCAATAAGCTATGGTAGTAGCTCTTTTAACCTTTGGCAGCACACAGCAGATATGTATACTTAAACATTCTTGATCTTGTTGAATCAAGAGCGGATGTTACATCAATGTTCAGTCACTTTTTTGGTTTGTCCATAATGAATCGAGAGTTTGCATAAGTACATTTGCTTCATTAAGCTAGGTTTTCAAAACATATATAGACTCAGCTCTGCACATTCTGATCTCTCCCTCCCTCCCTCCCTCTCTTCCAAAGCAGCTTTCTTTTGCTTTCTCTGGTCATTTTCAAAATCGCTCACCGTCACATTTTGCCATTTCCATTTTGTAGACATTGAACCGGACATTTTTAAACCTTTCGAAGGGGACTCCCGACGCCACGTTGTGTTGTTGGAGGGTGCCAAAGAAACCAAACTTGCTACATAGCCAATTTGTGCTTCCTTGCCTTTGTATTAGAGAGGGTTTTAATTCATTCATTAAGAAGGGAGAGGTCAATTCTAATTCTTGTTTACATGAGCATATATTTATGTGTGTTTTAGAGCTGATTTAGCATCATGTACAAACCTCTCCACATATGTGTTGTTAGCCCTAAATAAATAAAAACATGTTGTCGATTAGGAATCATAAGCAGCTATTGGAAGTCAAATGTGTTGGTTCAAATAATGATTTTTCTTAAGCAGCTATTGGAACTCAAATGTGTTGGTTCAATAGATGATTTTTCTATCTCTAGAGTGTTCACTACAGTAAACTAAAAATCCACAAACAGATATTAAATTTCTGTCATGTACAACTGGTTCAGTGCTCAATGTTCTTCATATCCCCAAAAATATATATATATATATGAAACAAATTCAATGGAAACTACTTGAATATATATATATATAATATGCCTTTTTCCCGCAATTTTAATTCATTTCGGTGCTCAATGTTCTTCATATCCTCAAATTGGCAGCGCCAATTCAAAGGGTTAATGCCATATTTGACAGGATAGAAGCAGATTTATTCATACAGGGGATATATATATATATCCGAGTTCTAAATCAAAAATTGATGGACTGTTCTTGTTGCAGTCAAAAGAATATTTATTTATTTATTTATTTTTAGGGGTGTTTTAGATACTTAACATGAAAGTTCTCGAAGCTACACACTCCATATTGTTAAGATAATAGCATGAAAAGAATAATTTTTCATCAGAACAGATGAAGAAGAGTTGAAAAGTGAACAAAAAACAACTGGATGCATATTTTTCATAGAATTAATATATTATACAAGCAAAGACGTGGAGAAAATTACTTGAAATTACTTTGATAAAACTTTACTAAAAAGTAGTTGGAACACTGAGGCTTCAAGAGTGATTGTCTTCGGTTTTGATCTTGTCACTCTTTTTTTTTTTTTTTTTTTTAAATATATATGTATATATATATATTAGTGAGAGTTGGATTTTTGGTGCCATGATTTTTTTTTTTTTTTTTTTATAATTTATTGTCACTGCATCAGCTTCTTTGCAACTTGTCTCCTAGTGAGAGTTCTAATTCTGTTGTTAACAATTGAGAAGAGTTGAAAAAGAATAAGAAAAAATACATAGACATAGTTATAGTAATAGAAATATAATTTTTTTTTTTTTTTTTTTTGTATAATTTAAATTCTATAACATTATTTCATATATCTAACTTTGTACTTTGAGGAACCACTTGATTTCTAATGTTGAACTTATTTACTTATAACAAAATTAAATTAAAAACTTCTAAAAAAATAAAGTCTAAATAAAATTAAAAAATATTTTGTTAAAGCATCATTATGATTTTAACAAAATCATAGGTGTGAAATGAATATATATATATATATATATCGCCGTAACTCACTCACTTTCAAAGAATATTAAAAAATTGTACAAAAACACAACTTCATTCATTTTTCTATGAGTTTGGTAATATATTATACCCAAGCCCATCTAAAAGTTAAAACCCAAACCTACATTATTGTATTACCCAAGCCCATTTCAAACCCAAACCTAATCTAAGCTATAAAGTTCCATTTTTTAGGGTTCAGAGTAACTCAGCTGCCAAAACGAAAGGAGTCGTCTTGTTCCCTTCCTTCCCTCATCATCGAACAGCAGCCATGGTAAAATGAAGCTCACCATTTCTCTCTCTATATAAATATATACTATATGAATATATATATATATTTTTATTTATTTACATGTATATTTCTATTGAAAATAACGAATATCTTCAATTTCATTATCAGATTATTCCAGAGAAGAACCGGAGAGAGATCTCCAAATACCTTTTCCAAGGTTCCTTTATCTCCCTCTATCTCACTGTGTGTGTCTGTGTGTGTTTGTTTCTCACGTTCGGTTTGTGATGAATCTACAGAGGGTGTTTGCTACGCGAAGAAGGATTACAATCTCGCGAAGCACCCCGAGATCGATGTGCCGAATCTGCAGGTGATCAAGCTGATGCAGAGCTTCAAGTCGAAGGAATACGTCCGCGAGACCTTCGCTTGGATGCACTACTACTGGTACCTCACCAACGACGGGATCGAATTCCTCAGGACTTACCTCAATCTTCCGTCGGAGATTGTTCCCGCCACTTTGAAGAAGTCGGCAAGGCCCATGGGTCGGCCCATGGGCGGCCCACCCGGCGATCGCCCACGGTAACTCAGCATCCGCATTGCATTTTGCGTCATGGGTTTAATGCATTTTCTCTTAAAGTTTTGATTTTTGGTAGAAATGTGATTAATTTTGTGGATTTATTATGATATTGCAGTGGCCCACCGCGGTTTGAAGGTGACAGGCCGAGGTTTGGTGACCGGGATGGATACCGTGGGGGTCCTCGAGGCGGCCCTCCCGGTGAGTTTGGTGGCGAAAAGGGTGGTGCTCCGGCCGACTTTCAGCCTTCTTTTAGGGTAATTTCTCTTAACTAAATAAATGTAGATAATATATTGGTGCAGATTTGATGTGTTATTAGGGGTTCCAAATGTTTTTTATTGAACAATTGTTACATTCTTCATATTGTAGGCATGTTAAGATTGATGCATGATTCAAAATGTTTGGTCTGGTTGTTTTTTTAGTCAATTGTAACTGTTACAAATAGAGGACAGTTGTGGAAGTTGTCAGTTCTATTGGAAAGTGTCATGTATAAAGAGTTATAGTCTGTTGAAGTTTTGGTGATTGTGTTTTGAATTTGTAATTTTGTGTGAAGAGTTGTGTTATTCTGTTGAAGTTTTGGTGATTGTCTTCTGAATTCAACTAGAGGACAGGATATTAGGATGTGTGTGTTCACTTGTAGTACATTATGTCTTTTAGTCATCTTTGCTTTTATATTTCAGAACCCTCCTTTGTGCCTTGTATTTATTTATCAAACCAAAGCTGCTCTATAACCAAAACCACTAGTGAATGGAAAGGGCTGGTTACGTGGTAGGATTTTTTTTGTTTTGATTGTTTTCATGCTTGGCAAATTCCCTAGATTTGATCATTTATATTTGTCTAAATTGCTAGACAATATATTTGAAGGTGTTCAATTGTCCAAGTTTTGTCTTGGGGTTGAATTTCTTTTCCTACCTGCACTATTGCATTGTCTATATAGATAAGCTTATGGTAGCTTATATTAGTTTTATGACATTTTATCAACATTAAATATAAATCAACTGAATAAGTGAAAGAACAAACTTTTTTCTCTCTCTTGGCTTGCATATGCTCTGTTCCTAGGTTTCTGTTAGGGTCTTGATTGTGATTTGAGTTAAATTCTTAAATCTGTTTTTATCTTCACCGTAGACTGCCTTAGGTCATGTGTATCCAAATTGGCACAATTGTTTTTACAACCCCCAAACTGACTTCACAAGGGTTCCATTATCGTGAACAAGCACCTCTCTCTGTCCACCTGAGCTTTCAAAGATAAACCCATGGTACCCACCATAATAGGTTTCCAATGCTCAACAAATTTAATTGCACAATTAACTTTCCAAATGGTACTCAGACTTTGATCAGTTTCAAAAGTTAAAATCAGTGGCCCTGAATGGGTTTAAATTTTTAGAATGTTGATAGCTCAAATAACTAAAAACCTCAAGATATTGAGCTCAAGGAGCCCTTTCGTTGTGTGACTTATGAGTAAATAAACTTGTACTAGAAGCTAGTATAAAAGGCATATGAATCAACAACAAGAAAGCATCTCAAAAGCTTACAATTAACTTATTTATAAGAGGTTGGACTTTTGATCCAAGTATTACCAAATCTTGGTGTTTAATAGTTGTTGATCTGCCCTCTCAAAGTGCGGGCTGTGATTTATGCCATTTGACTTTTCTTTCCACTCTAACCAATTGTAGACTTGCCTCAGAGGAGACTAGTGTGTTTCACTCCATAAGTGTGGATACTTTGTTTTAGGTTCTGTCTCAACAGTGTCTGACATGACATCTCAGATACTCTTAGAAATGTCTTTTACATGGCTTGCATGTACGCATAAGTTTTCTGAAATAAATTTTAGAATTTCACATCACTAAAGTGAGTAAAGCATGATATTGATGCCCCTTTTAAAACAGGAAAAGGAACATATAAGTCTCACAATGAGATATGTTGACAGGAGATTGCAAAGAAAATTTGTATCAGCATATTTGTTCAGTGTTCTATGTTGTTAATTATGTGTTTTCACTGCTACCACATAATGTTGCAGTTTATGTTTATATGGACCTGACTTCTAAGAATATGTTCTATGCCCTTCTTGCAGCTTATCATTTCATACAATTTACTTGTCATTTCATACAATCTTCATGGAAGAATGTTTTTTCTTTAAGGTGGCTTGTTCCTCATGCTTCATACTCATATTTTTTTAAGAAGTTTCACAGACACCAGTCACTGTTAATATGTATTCTTCGAGTGTTTTAGGATTTGTCCTAGTATGCATTCAAAGTAAAATTGTTTTCTGAGATTTAGATCTGTATCAAAATGAGTGGAGTTTCTTCCAAAGTTTTTTTTTTTTGTTTTTTTTCCGATGCTATCATTTGGCTTACTACTGGTTTCAATATTTCAGGGAGCTGGAAGGGGTGGCTTTGGGCGTGGAGCTGGAGGTTACGGTGCGGCACCTCCCAGTTCAAGCTTTTCTTGATTGTTATGTTTTAGTGAATTAAATTCAATCCTTAGAACTTACATGGTGCGATTGAAAAACAATCAATATCATGTCTTTTGAATCATCTTACCTACAATTTTGTCCTCTTTTATTATTTTAATAAAATATTCTTTGGCTATAAAGCATTCTTACCTCGGATAAATTCAATCCCTACTTTTATTTTGTGCCACACTCTAATTTTGTCCTCTTTTATTATTTTAATAAAATATTCTTTGGCTATAAAGCATTCTTACCTCGGATAAATTAAATCCCTACTTTTATTTTGTGCCACACTCGGGGGCTTAGCTTCCGGTTGCAATGTCATAGTCTTTTTGCGTCAGCTACTTCTTTTACCCCGAGTTAGATTAGTCTGCCTAGTTAGACTGAAGAATTCCTAGTATATGTTGTGAAAATTTACTGCTTATAAGGGTTTTTTCTTTGAAAAAAAATAAATAAATAAAATTTCTCATACTAGTCTATCTGTTAAGCAATAAAAACCACGACTTTTATTTTTTATAAAATTGTATAATATTTTTAGGACACATGATGACCATCAATCGCGAGAAAAATAGAGGGTTTTAAAGAGAGGGTTTTAAAGAGACTTAGAGAGAGACAAGTTAGGGAGATAGTTGGATTCTTTGTTTCATGGAGTCTATCCCTGGCCCGTGACCAAATGGGCTTTGGCCTTGAAATTAGTGTCCTCAAGTCTTAGAGGGGTGATTCTTTGGTTTGGCACAGTGACGTCCTTGAAACAAATGTCCTCAAGATTTAGAGAGCAAGAGAGGGATTCTTTGGTTCATGGATTCTACCTACTAGTAGATGGGCCAGGTCCATTTACGTGGCAGACCACCTATCCCCTAGTACCAAATGGGTTTGATCCTTGAAACATGTGACAAATTTCCTATCCCCTAGTACCAAATGGGTTTGGTCCTTGAAACATGTGACAAATTTCATCCTGATAGGGCAGGAACCAAGTTGCCCATAAAGGGAATGGAGAAAGATTATTAATATATTTAGCTTAGTTAAAAAGGTAACTTGTCTTGTGTCTTCTAAAACCCCCTAAACTGAACTATATATAGCTTCAATTACACCAAAATATTAAATAATAATAATTATAATCCTTAGCTTGCAGAACTGGCACTAAGAGATGCATATGTTCTATAATACGGAAAACCAGAACCCATATTACAATAGAGATGGTGTTAAGACTCCAAAAGCAAGACAAGACAGGCCTTGCGCACAGACCTATTGAGACTCAAAATGCAAGACAAAACACCTTTACTACCAACCACATAGACACACCAACCAAAATATTGCTTATCCACAACAGAGACTACCTAGATGCTAGCTGCTTATGCTTCTGCCCTCAGTCCACTTCCTCCATTTTGCTCTCCTCATTACCATCCTCCTCCAATGCCGGCATGTCAGCGTCCTCGCCACCAACCTCTTCCTCATCGATGCTCAGACCCAATTTCAACATCCTGTGAATCCTCGCCGCGAATGTGTTTGGATCATCAAGACTGAAGCCAGAAGTCAGGAGAGCAGTCTCAAATAGTAGCAGCACAAGGTCCTTCACCGACTTGTCATTCTTGTCGGCCTCGGCTCTCTTCCTCAGCTCCTCCATGATTCCATTGTCCGGGTTGATTTCCATGGTCTTCTTGCTCGACATGTATGAGCCCATGCTGCTGTCTCTCAGAGCCTGTGCCTTCATGATCCTTTCCATGTTTGCAGTCCACCCATACTCTCCTGTAACCAAACAGCACGGAGAATCCACAATCCTATCAGATACAACCACTTTCTCAACTCTGTCTCCCAAAATTTCCTTCATGGTCTTGCAAAGGTCCTCAAATGACTTCTTCTTTTCCTCTTTCTTCTTCTTCTCTTCCTCACTCTCATCGTCAAGCTTCAAACCCTCCTTTGTGGCGGAAACCAATTTCTTCCCGTCATATTCCTTCAGCTGACCAACAGCGTACTCATCAATGGCATCAACCATGAAAAGAACCTCGTAGCCTTTCTTCTTTAGACGTTCCAAGAACGGAGAGTTCTCAACAGCCTTCTTGCTCTCACCGGTGATGTAGTAGATGTCCTTCTGACCTTCCTTCATCCTGGTGACATAGTCCTTCAAGCTAGTCAACTCCTCACCACTCTTGGTGGAGTGGTATCGGAGCAGGTCAGCCAATTTTGCCCTGTTTTGGCTATCCTCGTGAATACCCAACTTCAAATTCTTCGAGAAAGCTTCATAGAACTTGGTGTAATCCTCCTTGTTCTCCGCAATCTCATTGAACATCTCAATGCATTTCTTCACAAGGTTCTTCCTGATCACCTTGAGAATCTTGTTCTGTTGCAGCATCTCACGAGAAATGTTGAGTGGCAAGTCATCAGAATCCACAACACCCTTGACAAATCCAAGGTACTCCGGAATGAGCTCCTCGCAGTTGTCCATGATGAACACCCTTCTGACGTAGAGCTTGATGTTGTTCATCTTCTTTCGGGTATCGAAAAGATCAAATGGAGCTCTCTTGGGTACAAAAAGGATAGCCTTGAATTCGAGCTGTCCTTCGACAGAGAAGTGCTTAACGGCAAGGTGATCCTCCCAATCATTGGTCAAGCTCTTGTAGAAGGAGGCATATTCTTCCTTGGTGATCTCCTCAGGCTTTCTCAACCAAATGGGTTTCTGCTTGTTAATGAGCTGCCACTCATGGCTGACCTCCTTGATCTTCTTCTTCTTCTTGGTGTCCTTGTCTTTCTCCTCATCAACCTCCTCAACATCACCCTCCTCTTCCTTCTTTGGTTCATCGTCTTCATCGTCATCGCTGATCTCTTTCTCAGTGGTTTTCTCAGTCCATAGATAGATAGGGTAGCTAATGAATTCAGAATGCTTTTTCACAAGGTCCTTGATCCTCCTCTCCTCCATGTACTCCAACTACAACAAATCAACAACATAAAGTAAGTACCAAGCAACCGAATTTGAGGATTCAAACAATCCCAGACAACTTATCTGTTTGGTTGCAAAGAACAACAGAGGGATTCAAACTTCCTATGGTTGAGAGACAAATATAACAATTTGGAGTTTCAAAAACCAACATTACATTCATGATATTACCCAGGTTCAATTCAACAGTAACAAAGCAACATAACATTGAATTGGAATTTTTACCTGGTCTTCCTTGAGGAAGAGAGTGATTTTGGTCCCTCTGCCTAGTTGCTCGCCATTGACGTCCCTAGTGACAGTGAAGGACCCACCAGCTTGAGATTCCCAAATGTACTGTTCATCATCGTTGTGCTTTGTAGTCACAATGACCCTCTCTGCAACAAGGTAAGCAGAGTAGAACCCAACACCGAATTGACCGATCATGCTTACATCTGCTCCAGCCTGCAACGCCTCCATGAATTCTTTGGTCCCCGATCTCGCAATTGTCCCCAAATTGTTCACCAAATCTAATTAAAACAACACATTCATAAACAATTTTCAATTATTGACCATCCAAAAAACAATAAAAAAAAAAATACAACTACAATAATCCTAAATTTGCCCTGGAATGCTACTACATTCTCCAATAGTTTCAATTTTTTCTGATGAAAATTTTCCTGGGAAACAATCATGAAATTTTAGCTTAAAATTGTGGAATCAAACTGATAATAGTACCTGCTTTGGTCATTCCGATACCACTGTCGATGATAGAGAGGGTCTTGTTGACCTTGTCGGGGACGATCCTGATGAAGAGCTCCGGCTGAGCATCGAGTTTGCTCTTGTCCGTCAGACTCTCGAATCTGATCTTATCCAAAGCCTACATACACCACAATTGATCAATTCAACACCAAATCACACACATAAACACACATATACATCTATACACGCACATTCAGAGAAATATGTAGGACGTACATCAGAGGAGTTACTGATGAGTTCCCGAAGGAAAATCTCCTTGTTGCTGTAAAAGGTGTTTATGATGAGGCTGAGAAGCTGGTTGATCTCTGCCTGGAAGGCAAAGGTCTCAGCGTCGGCCATCTGAACATCCGCCATTACTACAAATTCTTCAAAGCTTGAAAGAATGTTAGACAGAGAAAGAAAGTTGCGTTGAACTAACGCTAGGGATTTCAGGAGATTCGAAACAGAGCTTGCTTACGAATTGAAAGCTGCTAGCGGATGGGGGTATTTATAGAAAGAGAGGGTCCCGAAATAGGAAGGAAATCGGGGTTCTGGAGTCTTCTACTCTTCTCTCAATTACTCCTTTTTTAAAATTATAAAGGATTTTTTTTTATTGATCAGGCAAAGGAAAGGAAATTTACGGCGACGTTTTTGTGTTTGGTCCTTGATTGGTTTGATTTTTGCCAAGGAAAGAAAGTGGATCGCGAACATTCTTCCACATATTGAAGTCTGGAATGCTCTTGACGCAGGCCGTTTGAGTCACGCTTGCACGTGCAAGTCGTGTGAGTCTCCAATGGGTGATGCTAATGGGCCACCCGGTTGCATGGACCCAGAGATCGAGTCATAATTGTGTTGCAATATTTTTTCCGACATGCTAACATTGTTCCAATTTGGAGTTGCAATTCGTGTAATCCAACTAGCATATTAAATAGGTAAATATATTAATCGTTTATTGACCTGTTAATCAAAACGAGATATTTAATATTTAATTAAATATTAAATAATAAAAAAAATTATCATAATTAATTTAAATATTCAAAATAAAAAGAAAAATCATGAGACATGGACAATGTTTATGTTGAAATGACTTAACTATCCATAGTAATTGGGTTTAAACAGGTAACATATTACATAGGTCATATTTACGATTATAACATATTGAGTTAAATAGATCATAAATGAGTTACACAAGTTGAACTTCTCAGCCCTAACCCGATACGGTTAAGTAAAGGGTTAACCGTGTTGACCCTTTTATGACTCAAATCCGTTTATGCCAAATTCAAATCATTTTAACTCGTGTCGTATCATAATTTAACACAATATAAATACATAGATAATTGTGTCGATATAAATTGATACAATAATTATGTATATAGGATGTTTGTATTTGATTTACTAACTTATTTATTATAATTAAATTAAACTATTTAATTAAATTTATTAGATAAATGTGTCGTATTTGTTTATACTCCTGGGTGCTTTTGGTTTTGGAGGGCAAATCATATTTTATTATTACAAATAAAAATTATTTTTATTATTTCTAGTAATATTTTAAATTTGTTAATTTAAATTTATACTATGGAGTAATATATTAATAAATTGTACATATATGAAATTATATACAGGTTTAATTTCAAATAATGTTTTACATAAAATAATTTCTGTTAAGTAATTTTTTATATCATTTGATAAATTATGCATACTTAATTTTAAATTATATGAAAGTATGAAGTCCAATATATAAAGATTAAAATTGTATTTTGGGGAATAATATTTGGTCATTTTACGATAAGAAAGGGTTGTATTGACAATTTAAAATTTTAAATTAATAATTGACTTCTAAACTAATGTGCTTGTAAAACGTGCTTGTCTAATTTATGAACACTTTAAAGACTCGTGTTTTACTAACTTTCCCTCAACTTCCCAAAAAAAAAAAAAAAATTCCATATTGCAAAAGAGTCTCGATTCAAATATTATATCTTTATTTATATAGATCAGCTTTACTCATAAGGTTTGCATCGCCGCCAAGTGTGAAGTTTAAGGTTTGCATCGCCGCCAAGTGTGAAGTTTACGATTATTGCAGGCTTCTTGAGGTAAGTTGTTTTGATTGTTCATATATATATATATATATATATATATATATATATATATATATATTGATATTGTTTTTATGGGTTAGGACGGGCTCAATCAGATTTTAATATTGAAAGATTAGTTTTTTCAGATTTGTTAGCAACAAGTTTGTTATGATGAAAGAGGCATTACTCCACTTAACTTATTCATACTATATCCTGGTTAACCACCAATAAGTGTATTTTTTTTTTTTTTTTTTTGTGAATTATTTAGTTTAAAATTATAAATCCCGTTTGAATTTTTGCCGATTATTTGAGTATTGTAGATATAATGTAAGTTATTGTGATTATTTAAGTATTGTAGATATAATGTAAGTTATTAAAATTATAAATCCCATTTGAATTTTTGCCAATTATTTGAGTATTGTAGATATAATGTAAGTTTTTGTGATTATTTAGATTCTTTGATTTGTTGACATTGCAGGAAATTAATGGGTTCAATGGAGGAGTCAGATTGGGCATGACTTCCAAAGAACTTATTAGATATGATGGACAAGTTGGTTTCTCTTTCTGAATTTGTTTGATTTGGTGCGGTTTGCAAATCATGGTAATCTGTGGCAATGGAGAACAAACTTAAATTCATTCAAAATAAATTGTCTAGACAAGTTCCATTTTTGATGGTGCCTACGGAAGATAATAGTGACGAAAGACATAGTCTATATAGCATAACTGATTATAAGCTATATGATTTTCAGTTACGGATATCTTACAAAAAGAGGCTTTCTGGTTCCTCATATGGTTGGTTGTTTATTGTGGAAGAATCCTTAGGCGTAACTCTAATGAATCCGTTCTCTAGCGCTATCATTGAACAAAAAAACAAAACAATGAAAAATTAAAAAATTAAAAACAAAAGAAACTATAGATCGGACCAAAAGGACACTCAAGAAGTTACTTTCGTAGTCACTTTCCTAACACAGTTGGCACAATCCAAATTGAAGGTGGCATATGGTAATGTGAATGATCAAGGTTGTAATGCATCCCAAAGCTTCCATTCTCTATGTTGCAGATACCAATGTCGCGGCGCCCCAACGAGGGATATGATAGAATGTCAATATTATCATCGGTGTAGTATATGGAATTTGGTTAGCATCCGGACCATTTGGGAGCTGAAACACAAATTGAATGGTTATCTCCCAAAAACAGAGTGTCTCCGCCCAAGTTCTTCAACTTCTTCCCTTTAAGCTGCATGGGCGAACCTTGCTTAAATTGCTCTAAGAGCAACTTGAAAACCTCAAACCCTGATGTTGCATGTTGTGAATCGTCTCCAAGTTCGTAAGACCTTTGTACAAAAAGTAAATCCCCACTAGATGATTCGACATGTCAAATCACCATACACATTAGTCCGGAGTTCAAGTACCTCACTTGTGGAGCCTTACTCTCCCTCGCCCTTTTTATTAAGGTCAATCATTATGACTTTATTTCTATTATCAACTGCAAAAATCTGGCCTTTATAATAGATGACATCATAGAGGGGCTTAAATATCTTTTTATCTATGTAAGTCCAAGCTTTATCTTCTGCCTGAATAAATGCGAGGTTACAACAATCACCATAGATGGCGGCAACAATATAGTCATTAGGCGACGAAGCAGGGTCGGCTGACAATGTAGCCTTTGTAACTTCAACCTCAAGAGGCCTAACATCAATGTGATTAGGATGAGGTTCCACTTCTGAAAGGTTCATAATTGGATTGTTTTGTGCTGAAACAAATCTATTTTTCACACAAGTCTATTCTAAATTTATATTAAAATGTAAGATCGTGGTTCTGAGACTTCTAAATAAATATCATTTGTAGTTGGCTCTCATAATCTATTTATCATCGAATTATTTATTTATATTGTTAACACAGAAGTGCTTTGTCATTTTTTATTTTTTTTAGTCTGTTAGCATCATGAATAATATTCCTTAAAATCAAGGGATGGAAACACTTGAACAATGCTTGATAATCAAATTATCTTATATAATGAAGTATGAGTTAGAGGTTCTTGAATTTGAATTTTGAATTTTGCTCTTGAGAAGATGACTGGTATGAAGTTAGTTGTATTTTATGCTACTGAAGTATTGTTCTCTGCCAATTTGATCCATAGCAAGTGATAAGAGTTGCCAAGAAAGGTAATTAAAGTGGCACATCCCACACATATATGTTGTTTGAGAGAATTCAAGGACTGATTATAGCAACCTGAATCTCTCACAATTAAATTAGGAATAAATATATTCTCCCTCTATGTGTAAATCTTTTAGGAAGCAATTAAATAGAGCACAATTGTGATACCCCCTAATTTCGGAATACGGGTTGATCAAATCCGTGCACAAAACCAAGGGATATCAAAACAATTAAAGTATTTCGAACAAGCACAGAGTACAAAAAGAAATAAAAAGAATAAATAACTTGCTAAAGGAAAATCTACTAAATAAAAACTCCCTTAACAATTCTCCAAAATTTACAACTCGGGAATCTTGTAACTCAAGGACCCATTAATCAAAATCCACTATCCAGAGATTTATTATTAAATATTAACATCAAATGAAAATAATAATAATATCCTACTTTTAAATAAATCGAGAGAATGGATAAGTCCTCCAGTTGCGGATCCTCAACCTTGAGACTTGAACTTCTAATAATCTGAAAAATAAATCGTGAGTTAAACCCTACGAGCAAATTCTCTCTACCAGGCCTCTGAAAACCAATAAAGAGATCATCTCTGACCAAAACCAATCATATTAAAGTTTTTATCTTTAATATATAATGATACACATATATATAAATAATTATATATACTACACTAATCACATCCATTAATAGGTTCATTAAACTTCCAAACCCATTAAAATAATGATTAAATCAATAATCATTCCTAAACCAATCCACAATTTATTTTCTTTTAAAGAGAACCTCCTTTAACCTTAATCTCATCCTATACCATTACTTAATCATTTAAACAATAGAATAAAATTAAATGAATATTATATTTAATTTAAAACATAATAATGATTTATTTATTTCAATTACATATCCAATACCTATGTTTTGACAAATCATCTATATCTCCACCAATATTATTTTATTAATATATATAAAATAATATACTAATTTTTAAACCCTAGATTATTCTAATATACGAATAACTAATCATAATCCAACTTCTACATACAATAAATCCACAGATGAAATTTTAATCATCTAATACACATAATAATTTAATTATGTTTTGGCAAATCAACCATGCCATTATAAATATATTATTTATACATTGACAATTAAATTATGTCTCCTTTAAATATATTTATTTATACATTGGCAATTCAACCATACCTCCTATGTATATTTATCCATACATTTAAACTAGCAACTCATCCATACTTTTTATGTATGTATTTTATTCATACAAATATTTAGGCCATATTTAAGCCTTTGACAACTCATCCATGCCTACAAT